TTATGATGCCAAATATGAATGGATATGAATTATTAGATACAATAAGATCTAATCCAAAAACTCAATTAATTCCTTTGATCTTATTATCTGCAAAAGTTGGTGAAGATTCAAGTATTGAAGGTAAAACTTATAATTATTGTTTTTCTTTTAAAATTTTCAAATTTTTTGAATTTTTTTAAATTTTTTTTTTTTTTTTTCTATGTATTTATTATTAGGATTGGATAAAGGAGCAGATGATTATTTGACGAAACCATTTTCTTCACGAGAATTAATTACACGTATTCGAACAAATATTGAACTTTCACAACTTCGTCGTAAATTCTTATTTCAACAATGTAAACAAGAACAAACAAAGCAATTATTATTTTCAATTTCGAATAAAATTCTATCCGGATTCGATTTAAAGGAAATACTTTCAAGTATTATTGGAGAAATTCATCAAATATTACCAAGTGAAAGAATATTCATTATTTCATGTGAATTACCTGAATTTAAAAATCGTACAATAATTGCTTTATCAGAAGATAATAAATCTTTGATAAATATATCATTTATGAAACAAACAATTATTAATTCTCAAAAAATTTTAAATATTAATTCTGGAGTAGAAATTTCTTTTGATACATATTGTTTAGATACTTTTAAAAAAGTATCAATGTTATCTGTTGAAATAAAAGTTGATAATATTTATAAAGGATGGATAAAAGCACATAGACCACCAAATTCTACTTGGCTTGATTCAGAAATAGAAATGTTACAACAAATATCTAATCAAATAAATTTGGCTATTATTCATGCAAATTTATTAAAAGATAAATTAGAAAAGGAAGTTCAAATAAAAGCTAATGAAGTTGCAAATATTGTTAAAAGTCAAATATTGGCAAATACTTCTCATGGTAAGAGATATTATTTATTTGTAAATATATATATATATATATATATATATTATATCAATTAAACTAATTCGATGACTTATTTTTTTTTATATAGAATTAAGAACTCCGTTAGGTGCGGTAGTGGGCATTCTTTCTTCCTTTGATCGTACTAATCTGACTGATGATCAAAAAGATATGATTAATATAATGACACGCGCTTCAGATGCTGTATTATATACCGTCAATAATATTCTTGATGCAGCAAAATTAAAAGCACAAAAAATCATATTAATAAATGATAAATTCGATTTATTGAATTTATTTGAGGAAATAATTGAATCATTTAGTGAAAGAGCTGGTGCTAAACAAGTTGAATTAATCTTGAACTGTGAGGTGGATAAATTACCAAAATATGTTAAAAGTGATTCTGAGAGGTGATTAATTAATTAATATATATATTTTATATAAAAAAAAATGTGTAGAAAATAAAAACTTATCATTTATTTTGTTTCCATGTATATTTAATAGGTTATCATTAGTTTTAACTCATTTATTATCAAACTCGTAATTATATTTTTCAAAAAAAAAATTTTTTTTTTATCTTTCATACCCAAAATAATTGTATATTAATTTATTCTTAATTTCTTTTAATTTAACTAGTATTAAATTTACTGAAGAAGGAGAGATTGTATTAAAAATTTCATTACAACCATTACAATCACAGAAAGTCATTGATGGTAAGCCGATTAAAAAGGCTAATTTATTGATTGAAGTATTTGATACTGGCATTGGGTAGGTTTAATTATGGTTAAATGATAATTGATACTATCAATAATACTTTTATGATTATTTTAATAATTTTAAGATGATTTATTTATTTTAACAAAATAGCGTTGAACCAGAATTTATAAGACAAGATTGGGAAAGTTTTTCTCAAGGTGATATATCAATAAATAGACGACAACATGGTACAGGACTTGGACTTTCAATATGTAAAAAATTAGTAACAATTAATGGTGGTGAAATTAATGTAGAAAGTCAATTAGGAAAAGGAAGTAAATTTTGGTTTACTTGGAATGTAGAATTATTAACAAAAACTTCAGAATTACAAATTAACTCACCAAAATTACAATTTGATGAAAAAGTCAATTATTGTTCATCATATATTATGAAATTAAATCGGATATTAATAATTCATCCAGTAAAAAGTGTAAGAGATGCAATGATAAAATATTTTAAAAAGGCTGAAAAGGTTGACACTTTTGATAAATTTGATAAAGGTATTATTCAAGAAGTAAAAAATTACAAACAATTATATAATCAATCTGCATATGATATAATATTCATACGGATTTATGAAAAAAATGAAAAAGAGGTTATAAAATTAATATTAGAATTAAGAGAAATAGGAATTAATATGGATAAATTATTAATAGTTTTTATAACATTTCCAAATAATACAGGAAAAGCGTTGGCAGAAAAATTAGTTAAAAAAATTGGTGGTCAAATAGCAATTATTTATACTCCAATTACATGGAGTAAGTTAATTAATTTATTATCACATATAAAAGATAACAAAGTTATTAATAGAAAATGCAATATAGAAAGTATTTCTACAAATACAAATATTTTAAAAGAAATTACAAACAATAATAATAGTGAAAGAATAGCCTCTAAGAATGGATTAAACTCGGCTTGTAAGAGTAATTACATTTTATATTTGCTATTTTTTTGCTTACTTTTTATATCTTTTCGGATTATAAATGATTTTTTTTACACGTTATTATTACATTAATTTAATATTATAATAATTAGATCTTTGTATCAGTTATATATTAATATATTTATTGACAGATTTAGTTGTTATATTTTTAATAAAAAAAAAATGTTTACTATTAAGGTTTGCTTTTAAAACATAGTGGCCGAATTATACATACTTTATTTAAAAGTTTAAATTAAATTACATTACTTATCACTGACGTAAATATAATAATATTTGTTAATGGTTTTTTAATACTAATTGCTGTTAATTCTAATCTCATCAATAAGTAATCGCCCATCATAAAGCCGTGGCTTGAGCTTCAGCTATACTTTTTCGTCTAAGCGTATCCATATTTTTATTAAACCTAAACATTTAATTTTGACTTTTTAATTATTGTAAAAGATTAGATTCATCTTTTAGTAAGTAAAATATTACAAAAAAATTTATATTAATAGACATTAATATTTGTCTCGTAACACCTAGCTACCTATTTGTCCACTAAGTTTTATCTCACTTGGCTTATCCTTTGGACTGCAGGTATCTTACGAGGTACTACCACCAAGTACAAACACACAGTTTATAATAAAGACTAACTTTGTTAGAGCAAGTTCTAATTTAGTTTATTGAGAATAACAATTCTGAGTATTTCTATTATAGGTTCGATCTCTTTTATTAGCAATCTAATCATCACTCTATTACTGTATTAACCATTGAAATCAAAAATATCAATTTTGAAATATCTTTT